AAAAAAAAAAAAAAAAAAAAAAAAAAAAAAAACCTACTGTAAAAAAGAACTTGTGATAATATTGAGGAAACTTGCTTTCATGGAAACAGATATTTGAAGACAAACATTGCATTCGTTTTTGTATACGTTTCGTGTCTACATGGACACCTATCTGGACGTACGGGATACAACTGTGGGGTACCTACTGCGTCCCACTCAAATATAAAAATAATACAGAGGTTCCAAAATAAATCACTCCGCATTATAACCAACGCCCCCTGGTTCGCACCCAATGAACTGTTACACTACGACCTACGAATACTAACAGTAAAACAAATAATTGAACGACACACCAGGTCATATAAGGATCATGCGATCCTTATATGATCATGTGAGATATGCATCTCGTCACCCGAACACTCTGGCGCAGTCACTAATGGACGAACACAAGGCAGTGCGTAGGCTAAAGCATAGAATACCATAAGATGTGATCCAACCATAGTAAAATAACAGTATTTATGAAGAGGTTGTGACACAGGTCACATGCCGAAAACGCTAACTACAGTAACGTCCAACATACTGCTGAATGTCCCAAAGAAGGCGACAGATTGTAGTATAAAAGGAAAAAAATGTCTACATGGAAATGTCTTTAGGTTTGCATTAGACATAACGGCAGCAAGGTCATTAATACCGATTTATCTGACACACTAGCGTGTAGAAATATGCTCAGAGTAGGCGACAAGAAGATTATCTATCTATAAGGATACAATTAAGATGCATTAAATAAGCATGTATTATTATATCTCATTATATGGTAAATTAAAATTATTTCCGTAATCATATTTGCATCCGTATCCTTAGATACGTATTGTAAAACAAAGTCTTCTTGTTGTTTTATCTGTTTGTTCATGTTCAACTCCAAAACGAATGAATTGATTTCTGTGCTATCGTCGCCAATGTACCTCTATGATTCTTGGAAAGAGATTAATTAGTGAAAGATTGTTGTGTTTAGTTTTTTTAAATGTTTAATTTATTATAAGGAAACAGGTTACATACAGTATCTTATGATTATATACTTTTTTAGACTCTTCTTCTTAATTGTCACTCTAAATAAATTTGATGGTTATTTTTTTTATGGGATAAGCCGGAAAAGCTTATCCCATAAAAACACAAGAGCGGACAGATCACCTGATGATATGCAATCGGCGTCGCCCATGGACTGGAACACCAGAGGCGTTATAAGTGCGTTATCGGCCTTTTTGGGATTAAGAATTGTTGGGGATTCAGGGATTGGAGAGATTGGGGAATGGGAGGAATAATTGGGCCTCCGGTAACCTCACTCACACGACGAAACACATCGCAAGCGTTGTATCACGTCCGTTTTCTATGAGACCGTGGTATGTACTAGGCTCACTTCGGTCGAGCCGGCCCATTCGTGCTGAAGCATGGCTCTTCCGCGCTTAAAAAATGCAGATTGTTTTTATATTATTTTAATAAACTTTAGATACATACGTAGATGTTCGTCGCTCTGTTAATAAACTTAACCTACTTACTACACTATATATACTTACACAAAGTTTAATTTATAATAAAACTTAATCCTTTGCGTCATTATGATAGACAGGATAATAGTATAATAGGTTGCGTCAGGTCAAGACTTATATGTGTATTTATTATCCTTACTTATTGTATTTCTTATTGTAAATGCATCAATATGTTTATCTCTTCGTTTATGGGTTTTTTTATCTTCCACGTCGCAACGGAGCAATTTATCTGGAGCCGCAGAAGATCTAGCGACTAGCGAGTTATCGAGGCTTCGCCACGAAGCAGAAGTAGGAACGGGGTTATAATTCGTAAGAGTCTGACACTCCCTGTCGCCTCACCTAAGGTGGAAAGTGTCATTGGATTTATCCCACAAAAAAGGTAAAACAGAGTGATCTATAGTACTTTTTAATATACGGATATAGGTCGGAGGCTGCATAGTAAATTGAACACGATGTCAAAGTCAAAGAATATATTTCAATTAAACCACAATTTGGTACTTTTGAAACGTCAACAAATACTAAATAAATAATAGTCTGTCAGTCAGTCCGTCAGTGAAGCTAGGTGAAGCTCATTCCAAAAGGTAAATTCGAATGGAGAAGAACGAGCAAGAAACTCCATTAGTTACTTCTTTTAAAAAAAAGTATGTTCTACAATGTATTGCTAACGAAATTTCTTGTTACCCCTTCAGGAGATGATTTCTTTTAATAGGTGAAAATCATCGAATGATTTCTCCCGCCTAGGTAAGGCAGGAGGGAGTGTCAGACTGACTAAAAACCACCTCGTTCCTACTCCTGCACTTCGAGCCGGAGCCCCGGTAACCCATTAGGTAATCCGCGGCTCCGTATGGGAATCAGCCCTATTGGGCCTTGGGTCTGATGGCTTCTTGAGGCGCTGCATAGAAAATTGAACACGAAATTTCTTGTTATCCCTTCAGGAGATTAGAATCGCAATTTATGAAGTACGTACGATTCACCCTTTACAATTTGGTTCAGTAAAACTGATATTACAAGAGGCCTAACAAATAATATTACTTGCAAAAACTATACAACTAAAACTACGGATGTAATAAATAAGTCTAATATTATTGTAAGCCATTGTTTTCCTTCACTAAAAGAAAACGAATATTTTAGGTACATTGTGGTTCTAATAGTAGGAAGTTAGAGTGAATAAAATGCGTCGTACATATACACAGGGTGATTTGTTTCTGAGGTGTGTCGTAAGAGGTTGCACTGATATTCTGAATAAAGGAGCCATTAAATTCGACTTTCCTTGAATTTCAGAACACTGTCTAACACTTTTGATGATTGCAATTAGTTAATAAAAAACATTTGAATGCAAGGTAGTGAAAAAAGTCGCATTTAGTGCTTTTTTATAAATTAAGAAGTAAACGATACATTCTACAAGCCCATACGCGATCAAACTTTTATAACATGCTGTATCATAATTTATATTAAAAAAAGTTTATTGCAAAGTTCTTTAAATATTTTCCCATCACGGAATGCTTATGTTTTGCTAATTATACATAAAGATATATAAATATGTTATGTGTTATTGTGTAACAAATACCAGAACCTACTAGTCGGATTTTCCTGTTATGGTGGGATTTGTTTTGTTGCTATACAATTAATTTACAGTAGAGAAACGTCTAGACCGCCTCGTTGGTTGCATAGAATAATAAAAAAACTCATTATTTCGTGTTTGGTTGAATGGTAGCCATTCCGACTGACCAAAGAGATCGGTTCCTTCCTGAGTCCCAGTAAAACAACTGCAAATGTTGTTTTCAGTTTTTTTGAAAATCAACTAAGGAGGCTTGATAAGTGCTCGATTCCAACGAGACCACGCGACTACCTATCATTTTGTAAAGGGAAATGTAGACTCTTAAATACATCTTCAATACTAATAGTTAGCATTATTTATCGCTTGCCGATACAGAGTCGCGGACCTAACGGGTTACCGGGGCTCCGGCTCGAAGTGCAGCAGTAGGAACGGGGTGGTTTTTAGTCAGTAAGAGTCTGACACTCCCTCCCGCCTCACCCGGGCGGGAACAATAATTCGATGATTTTCCCCGCTAAAAAAATGTATTTGTCGCTCCACCGGGACAGAAAGCCGATTCATCATACTAGACAACACAAACGACATCTACCTATACTAGTCTGGCACATAAACACGCAATCATTGAAATCTCATTTAGTTTCAGACATCAAAGATAGATGGCATTAAACCGTTAATATTTTCTTATTTAACGTTTGCGCAGGCGCCTACAATTTCGTGTTGAGTGTAATGTGAAGACGTGAATGATGTAAAATTATTTGACCTTTCTTCTCTTTTAAGTGGTGTTGTCACGCTGCTATAGAAATTATCATGTGGGCTGCTACCTACATCAGAGTCCAAATAAAGCTACCTACTTGTTCTAGAACTGAAGTAGGTACTCTTATTCCGTCGACACTCGAAAATTTAATGAAGATCATAGAATTAAAAATGTCAGCCTAAGTTTAGAATAAAAAGACAATACTTAGGATATTATACGAAATACTTCACGTATTAGGTAAAGGTACACCAACCAAAGTTTAACAATAAAAAAGACATTAACAAATCAAACAAAATAAAAACAAAGTGACCTAATCCACAATCTGCTAATTAAAACAAATTATATTGTAATTACCTATTAACCAATTATTGGTATGACAAACAAACAATGATAACAAACTGCAGCGTAGATAAATTGTGACCCCTGAGTCGACAGGAGCGAGGGATCCGTAGCACGTCCCATTCATCATTCAGTGTACACGCTTCCATCTTGGAATCAAGATGTGGTTACATAAACTGATTCTGTTCTCATTATTCCTCACAGTTTTCGGTCAAGGTCTGTTCTATTACTTCAATATTTTTATCTATTACGTGATTTTTACCTACCTTTTTAATATTTCCTTCCGTGCTTTCATATATCTTGTCTCTTTTATCTGTGTTTTGTGACATATGTGGAGTTTTGATTTTGTGATGTGTTGCATCTGTGTTAAGGTTTATTTTTCAAGTTTATGCTTTAAGAATGTGACATTTATGTGTGCAACAAATAACACGTGTGTTTGAAACTTGAGCTGCATTGATACGCAAAGCGATTGCGAAGCCCTTTGTTTGTCTCTTTACTCTTTGTTGCATATTAATAAAATGTAGTTAATAGATAAACATATTTATCATAGATCTACATATTACTAAGGCATCTATTAAATAATTGAATGCCTATGTCTGTTGTAAAGTTAATTCATTTATGTAATAAACAAATTTCAGTTGAGCACACACCTCGCACAATCTACTTAACTATTAATAACCATTTCTTAAGTAAACATAGATAAATCTTTAATAGTGAATGAACGTGATGCCTATGCCATTACAGATGACACAGAAGAAGATATAACTGATGCAGAGAAATTAGCAGAAGGAGAGAAGAAACTAAGTGAAAATGTTCTGGCAATACTCGAGCACTTTAAACAGCCAGATCCTGTGGGACTGCCAGGTGCTGCTATACCAGACCCGTACCCTGTGCCAGATATGAAACAGTCCCTGTCGTTTGGTACTCTCTACTTCAAGAACACGGCTGTGCACGGCATCAGCAAATTCCGCATACTCTATGTCAATGCTGAAATTGGAGCAATGGAGGTAAAATCAGTTGATAATGACTGTAAACATAGATAATAACATACTATGAAGTCATCTGATCGATTCATTGGTCTATTATATTATTCGCAATAAGTGATAAGACTTTGTACGGCTAGCTACGTACCTCAAGTATTTAATTATTCGAAGGATCTTTAGATTATTTAAGTAAACTCTACTGTTCTACTCAAGTTCATCCCATTGACGATCACGTAAAGTATAGCTAGGTAAACTAAATAATTATAAACATATTTCTAGGTCCATGCAGCGATGACAATAGATGTACTGCAAGCTCGCGGTAATTACACCATGTCAACTTGGTTGAACAGAGCTCAGGGGCCATTCACAGTCGACGTCACTGGTCTGAAGATTATAGCTAGAGCAACACTCGGCGTGGAACGTGATGGAAAACTACGAGCACAAGACATTGTCATAGACCTCAGTTTTAGCACTATAGCAGTGAACTTTGAAAACCTAGGTTTCTTTGGTGGAATGTTTCAAGGAATTATTAACACAGTTGGTAACTTCCTCTTCGACTCCATTAAACCATATGTTTTGAAAGAAGCTTACACTAAAGTTAGAGCCGAAATCAACACTAAACTGGATGAAGTCGCTGGAGATATGCAGTTCCCTAACTCCATATCTCCTCTAGACATGGTGATCATTGACGTCCGGAAAAAGGTACGAGACATGCATCTGGACCCTTACAAAATGAAAGACTACAACGCCACCGTAAGTGTTTTCACAGTATCTTTAACAAATACTTGGATTACTGGTATATCTGCATTTCAAAGAGTTGGTAATATAACTTTGCAAATGGAAAATAATACTGCTATCGCAGACTTTGATATTGGCACACAACGGCTTGAAGGCAGAACTCAATGGGACATTTCTGCTATTGGTGGACTACTATCAAGAGCTGGTACAGCATCGTTCTCCGTAGAATATATAAGTGCCAGAATAATATTAGCGCAGCCGCTTGACACGAGGAAGAAGCCAATATTCAGGAACATAGACTTGGAAGTAGGAAACATTCAAGTTCGGTGGAATGGAGCTGGTACTATTGATTACGTTATTGAATTCACAGTTAATGTTTTACCGAACCTACTGAGATATCAGATAATGGATGCCATAGAAGGTCCCTTGAGAGAAAGAGTGCAACAGGAACTTGATAAGATTAATGTTGAGGAGATGATTAAAGAAGAACTTCCAAAACTCGACGCCATGCAAGGTTCAGGATTTAAACTATCAGATTTCAAAGAGTCCGTCACAGAAAAGGAACCTTTTGATGAAGACGAGTTCTTTAACTTTTAAGTCTGAATTACTTTAAAGTAAGATTTCATATTTCATAAATTGTCATCTACTTATTTATTAAATTAATAAAATTGAATAAATCGTACAATTATATACATTTTTGATCACTTATAACAATTAATATCGAAAACTTTAACGGTAATTAATTAAATGATAAAATAAGAGATGGCGCTATAATCAATTATAGATACTTGTACGATTAATTAACCTTCGCAGTAAGAAAGGTTTCTCGTTTCCTTGAATTTGTCTTCATTGTTTAAATGTGGTTGAATAAATAAACCAATTACTTTAAAATAACATATAAACGACAATTGAAAAATAATCAGGTACTTACTTCAAGTATTATTTAGAGATCACCAAACTCTACAAATAGAATGAAAAAATTTATAGCTGCAAGATGAATTCTAAATAATATGCTAAGACTATCAATTTAAGATACATCTTTATCAGAAGATGTAGGTAATATGTAATAACTAGGATCCAGATCCAGGAATATTGAAAATATCTGCAGTAAAGAAACATTAAATTTGTCTGGAGCGCCTACAAGAAAACCAACAGCAGAAGAACATAAAAGAGTAAGTTGAAATACCTATTCATCCATAACCAACAATAGAGTATGAATTGAATATAATGAATCCTTTTTTTATTTATCTAATTCGACAGATAATTTATGTGGAAACAGGTGAAAGAGTTTAGTCTTAGTTATCCATCCAGAAGGCCAGCTTTTTATAGCTATTTAATTTTTAACTTAAACCAAATCTACACATATATACTCATACCATGAAAAGAGCATATTTTTATCACCACTTCATCACCCATCGCGGGCATCGAACCCAAATCTTTAAGAAGCCTGACACAATCATCATACAAACGAGCCAATGCTATAAATCACGGATTGAATTACAATCACATAAGTATTAGAAAATTAAAGCAATAAATTTTGAGAGCTGTCTTTTCGTCTGGGAACTAAAAAATAGACAGTTCACGAGACGTGACTTACATAGAAAAAGGTAGAACTTCTAATTTATTTACAAGAAATTATGCTTGGCTTATACTGGTGCAAGGAGACGATTGAATATTGTGAAACAAGTGAATTTATTTCTGCAAATAGGCTACAAGGCAGCACTTTTACACGTAAATTTTATCAAGCGAACGATGAGGCCAACATTACCTAATTGACTACTCTGAGAAGAAATGCCGAAACAAACTAAGAGGTCCGTCTCTTTTAAAGTCCAGACAAATATGTATAAAAGATTATGTGTGAGAACCGTGCAAGTTCTTTCTGTAGTGACCTTTTGAGGAAAGAACCACAACAGTTTGAGCGGACCCGTTCTGAAGGCAGTACGCATGTGTCGGTTTACAATCAGTTCAATTAACAGGTGACACTGACTGATTCGACGAACAATACCAACCTAAAGACCACTATTCATATACATATTTCCCTATAATAATTTCTCTATGACAAGCATGTTCAATAAAAATATTGGTTTTTAACCACATTAGTTGAAACAATGCTTACTTACAATACATCGTCATCATCATAATTATGAACCGCATGATGCCCACTACTAATCACAGGACTCCTCCAATGACTTCCAGAGCCACGGGTTTCGTTAAAATATTTGATAATTCCAAAATATTGTAGCCAGATTTTCACTCACCTATGTATAAGTAATCACAATCACATTTTGATCTTTAAACAAACTGCTGTTTGGAAATATCATCCAGACAGCGAACGAACAAAACTTTTCTAAACAAAAAAAATATTAAAGATATCTAGAACAAAAGAATACGTAATGATTAAACAGGAAACCCGTAGTATTGTCGATAAATGGCTACGTAGAACTGATAAATGTTTGACCCCTGACTTCGGTATGAATAACGAAACAATATTTGACTGTTTTTTAGTCAGTGGTGAACAAGTTAAGGAACATGTGGTTGCAAAAGTTTATAGTTATTTTGTGTCTAATGATTGTCACGGCATCAGGCCAAGGTGTGTTAAACAAAGTGTACATATATATTTGTGAAGCTAAAGTTATATTTGTCGTTAATGAGTAATCAAACTCACGGTATTTCGTGTCTCCTTAATAATATTTGGTCATAGTGCCCTTGTTCTTGTGTCGTCTTGTGTGATGAGTCAATATTAAGATTCTTCTGCGCATTTGACGTAGTTTATGTTTCTTAGAGTTAGAAATTGAACAGCGAAACTAAATTCATATTAAATTTAGTTCCATTCGCAAGTAAAACATTTAAATATCTTAAAAAGGCGCTTTCGATGATTTCTATAGATAGTTAGGAAGGCGAGTTACATATAAACATAGAACTAGTGTTTATCATGGTCCTCGTGTCCACTATAAAAATACAAGCCTAATTAAGACCTGGAAACAACCAATTGACAATATATTAAAATGTATTTCCAGATGATACAGAAGAAGACATTTCAACGGAGAGCGAGAAATTGGCAAAAGGAGAAAAAAAGCTGAGTGACAATATTCTGATGATGTTAGAACATTTTAGGCAACCGGACCCTGTAGGTTTACCAGGAGATGTCATACCAGACCCTTGTCCTGTGGCAGACATGAAGCAGTCGTTACAACTAGGCACACTGTACCTAACCAATACTAAGGTCCACGGTCTAAGTAAACTCAGGATATTACATGTCAATGCTGAAGTTGAAGATCTTGTGGTAAGTTTATTTTCCTATTAACTATTTGATAGCCACCCACACACAAAATATTGTTCTATCTATACTCTATCGGTTTCATACATTATCCGTGTAAACGAAAATGACTGTTAATATTCTAAAACATACCCAAACAAATACTTTATCTTTTGTTATTATTCATTCTAGGTCGAAGCAGCCTTGAGGATAGATGCCTTGCAAGCTCGAGGGAACTATTCGATATCATCGTGGTTCGGTTCTTCAAGAGGACCCTTCACAGTCGACATCACCGGTTTAAAAATATTGGCAAAGGCTAATGTCGGTGTAGAAATAGACGGAAAGCTACGAGCTCAAGACATCCATGTCGACCTAAGTTTCAGCAAAATAGCCACGAATTTTGAAAACCTCGGCTTCCTTGGGGGTATGTTGCAAAGTATTATCAACACTGGAGGTGCTACCATCTTTGACTCGAGTTTACCAGCTATTCTCAAGGAAGTCTACCCTAAAGCCAGAGCTGAAATCAATGCAAAACTTGAAGAAGTCGCTGGCGATTTACAGTTCCCCAACTCTATTTCTCCTCTGGACATGGTGATCATTGACGTTAGGAAAAAGATAAGCGATATGAAACTAGATCCGTACAAGATAAAAGATAACAACACTACAATGAGTATATTCACTATTTCTTTGGCTAACACCTGGGTCACAGGAATATCTTCTTTCCAAAGAGTTGGTAATATAACTTTAAAGATGGAAAATAACACAGCTGTGGCAGACTTTGAGGTTGGTACACAAAAATTGGAAGGAAGGACTCAGTGGGATGTGTCAGCGGTGAGTGGGCTTGTCACAAGAGCGGGTACAGCGGCGTTTTCTATAGAATACTTTGGTGCCAGGGTGATACTGGCACAGCCGCTGGACACCAGGAAACCTCCCACACTGAGAGACATAGATCTCGATATAGGTAACATCCAAGTTCGTTTTGACGGTGCAGGCACTCTAGACTACGTGATTGAATTTGCAATTAACGTTATACCTAATCTTCTAAGATACCAGATCATGGATGCTTTCGAAGGACCTTTGAAGGAAAGAGTTCAACAAGAACTAGCGAAGGTAAATGTAGATGAGTTGATAAAACAAGAGTTACCCAAACTTGATCAAATGCAGGAGACTGGCTTCAAGCTGTCAGCTCTTAGAGGCCAAGAGGTTCATAATGCAAAGTATGATGAAGATGAGTTCTTTAATTTTTAAAAATAGCTTTGTATCTACGTATCCGATACAGTAGGTATAGTTCACAATGATGTTCCTGCCCTAACTTTTTTTAAATAAAATATATGCAGTTGTCCAATGACACATCTCCAATGAATTCTATTGTTTATATTGAATCATCATCTTACTGATAAATGTATGGATAATTACGCATAATAATTAATTTAAATGTTAATTAAAACATATTAAACATTTATAAAGAAATATTCCACTTGTTCTTTTTTTCAATAAAAACTAACGGTTAAATACCAGAAAGTTCGAATTACAAAAATAAAGAAACAATAAAAAAGTTAAGTTATTTTTTATGTGTCTGGCGCCCTGTGTTCCGTTTTTTTTTAATTCAAAATGAATTGCAGAAATAAAAAATAAATATAAAGCAATTCAGAGCAAGAGTGTATGACCGACATATTCCTCATCACGAATGCACTCAAACCGGTAGTAACGGTATCGAGATTCGATTCGGTTGTATCGAGAAACATTTCGGAAATTCGATTAATTTAAAACGAGCATGCAAGCAATATAATAATATGTGTAATACCCATTAAGTAGTGCATTTCCATGTCTGGGATACGTATTTCCTAAATTTATGTTATGGGCTTCCTCTAACCTACTCTAGGGTTCCCTTCTATTTTTCACTGAATTACGACACTTATATCTGGTTATTGGTATATAACAAAAACTTCATTAAAATCTTTCACATTTCTTGCAACAACGTTCTTTTTATTATCGTCACACATCTCAATTTATTCCCTAAGTGTCCAACATGTCATAAGTTAACACCTCGGGCGTTCACTTCGCCTTTAATTCAAATTCATCACACGAAAATACAATGATGATGAATTCGCGGCATTCTCTTGACAATAACTCCCTTTGATTTAGGATACAAGATTTACATAGTTATTAGCTTTATAAGTGACTTTTGATAGGTTTTCATTTCAGGTACATTAGATGTATTTTCAATCTGTAAAACAATGAAGCCAAGTCTACAAATCTGTCGCGGAGAACCTAACGGGTAACCGGGGCTCCGGCTCGACGTGCAGGAGAAGGAACGGGGTGGTTTTTAGTCAGTAAGAGTCTGACACTCCCTCCCGCCTCACCCAGGCGGGAGCAGTCATTCGATGATTTTCCCCCCTTAAAAAAAAAAAAGTCTACAAATCTGCTGACTGTAAAATGTATCCATATGAATTATGTAAGCATATGAATTATGTAAACACTGAAAAGAAGCGCTCTAATACAATTTATAAATGATTCCAAAAATGTTTATGTTAGGGAACTATCTAGCGAGCTTAAATACATAATTAGACTTCATAAAGAAAAAAGAAAACGAAATGTGAGAAACTCGATGACTTGTCATTCTCAAACATTACAAAGAGACAAAAGGAAAAAAATACGCATCCGCAAAAATGTATAGAAAACCTGCGGTCAACGCATCTTGTGCCTTGGAGAGGGTTCAGCCTACGACACCATTGCTCCCGCCGAGGCAGCACGAGCCGGACGCTTGCCGGCTTTCATAATTAAAAAAAAAAACAAAATTGTCAATTCCTAAATTCAAAAGTGGAATACTTCCGAGGCGTGGTTTCGTCACGTTTTATTTTTAATGTTTAAATAATTTAATTTTAAAATGGCAGCTTACCAAGTGTTAGTATTATTTTTCGCTGCAGTGATAGCATCGGGGACTTCAAACACACGTAAGTAGATGGAAGAAAGTAGACGGACGAGTGTTACTATTTGTGTCATTTTGTTTTACTAGCCCTAAACAATAGCATGCACTATGGAGTGAGTTTCTTTTCAGGTATTTTGGTGACATTAACCCAAATTATCTAAGGGCACAACGCTCGCGTCAACACAAAGTCACATACCTTGATTATTAACGCTTTCTTCTTCATTTAAATAATTTACTAATGTAATAGAATAGTTATTTGTTATTCACACTTTCATTTGTTTTCTATTTTAATTGGAGCAATTTACTTTTATTCCTGTAAAACCCAACAGTCGTTATGTTTTGAGTTTAAACGTTTATCGATGATATTTACCTGTATAGATGATATTTTAATGTCGTTTATTAAGGACAATGAAAAGTAAACACTTTATTTATTAATAGTCTATTTAGTCTAGTACTTATTAGTACCAACATTTCTGAAAATTGTGCGTAAAAAGACTATACCTACTCGTTTAGGTACATCATCTAAATCTATGTCAGATTCGCCTTCTGACAGTTCTGACTTCTGAAGTTAAGTACTTAATTATTCACTTTATAAAGTTCACAAACACAGAAGTCTCTTTCTAAGTAGCGTAGCATTAGCAAACGTTTTTACAAATATCAGGTCATAAATATAATTATCGAACAAAATCAAACGATACACCTCATTTAAAAAAATAACAGGCCCTTTGATAGCATATATTTAAAAAAAAAACTTCAATTTAAAAAAGTTCCATTTTTGACATAGCAACAAATAAAAGGGACCTAGTTTATTCGCGAACAAGTCCAACCTCCGTAGAGGTTAAATATTATTTATGCAAATATTCGTTAGTATGAGATCAGAGAAATTATTGTGATATAGTCAAAACATGGGTTTTCCAATAGAAATAATTATTTAAAGAGACTAATTTACATATATACTTTTATACAGGATTAGGTACGTCAAAACATATATGTTAATCGTTTACAAATTTCAAATATTAGTTATATGATAATAAAGTCTTTAAAATAAGACTATTTAATATTTCAATTATATCTGCGAATTTATTCGGTTTAAAAGTTAAAAAGTAATAATTTGAGTCACCGAAACCGAAAATTAAGTCAGTTTTATATGCGACCAATTATTTTGGGTACATATTCACTTTAAAACATAATGTAGATTAAAAAGCACCGGTACTTTACATAATATTCTGAATGTAACATTAAAAAGTACTCAACGACCAAAAGCTTGAAGCTCAATTTTGAACAACATCACCATAATGAACTTTAAAACACACTAATGATGAAACAATAACAAGATCATTAAAAATATTTATATTTGCTTTAATAGCATTGTGCATTACGTGAAAGTAGAGACACTTTCACTTGCATTTTTTTCTGGAACTTTCTTTTCTTGCAAGGAGTTATTCCTGTGCACAAGAATGCTGAAAATAAAGTCATTAAACACTAGTCGGATAAGATCATCCTTTGATGTTTGTTAAAGAAACTCATTTGGATAACCTAGGGAGCTGTGGGCTAATATTATGGTACACCAGGTTTGCACTAACATCTTTTTTGAGGTAGAAATAGGTTAAAATATGGACTTTCGTATCATAATAATCAAATGTAGATTACATAAAAGTATATCGCTTTTAATAAAAGATGCAATCTTGTTTGTTTCTCTTATTTAAAAAATGTTTTAACCACGTGTGTGCTTCCGAAAACTGTAATAGACAATTTTTTGATAATTATTTGCACTTGAGTCTTATCAAGGACCTATGCAAACTAGTTAACATTGAACTTCTTACATCCCTAAAATGCATCGTCTCATTATTGCTCAAAATATCTACATAATAAGATATTTTGTGTAACCTAATACACGAACACTAAAATTACCATAACAATTAGCACAAAATTAAAACAACTGAACTTAATGCGTGTATGTTTGGCGAGGTCATGTTTATTGTTTGTTTATTTACTTGTATTATTTACGAGTTGCTGACATAAATTCATATTTACCTTGACAATTGATATAGAAACTAAAGGTCAAACTATTGTATGCTCTTTTTTGTTAATAATCTCAATAAAAATTGACAAATACAATTATGAAAGTTAATAACGTTGAAAGTGGAGTTAAACGCATTATAGGCATACCAAATAGGTTCAAAAACTATTCTAGTTAAATTCTAATGGTACCGTTAACGTTTACGAGTCTGTTTCGGCAGTCCTCGTATAGATTTCATTGTCTTTTTGTCATCAATACTGACCCTACAGGAACTTTCAGTATGCTATAAGAATTTGAAATGCTTCGATTTAATAATAGGAATGATACATTTTGCAGAGGCATTCGTGGGTGCTTTTACATAGGTAAATATACAGGGTGTCCAGTAAATAGTGCACCATTCTGCGATATGAGATAACTGTGATGAATACCTACATAAACTACCCAATATATGTACATGTGTATGTTCAGCGTAAATGTACGGTTTCAAAGTTATACCACATTTTCGCAAATATCGAAAAATCTATACTTTACACATATCATTTAGTACCTACCTATCTCAGTGAAAAAATATTTTTTTCGTCAGTCTTACATATGTACATCAAATTACATACACAACTTCACTCCTATCTCCCATGGGGGTAGGCAGAGACTAAGGAACGCCAATTACTACGATTCCTACATACCTCTTTCGCTTCATCAACAGTCATCAATCTTTTCATGCATGCTCGTCGGTTAAGGGTACTTTTAATTTACCATACATCAAATTAAATAAGTAGATTAATACTATTCATTGGTAGGTATTAGTCCCAGCTATCTCCCTAACAGCATGCACTATTTACTGGACACTTGTATATCAGCACTTACCTAAACCTATGTCAATAAATCAATAACGTTTATATTACAAGATCAGTAAATCAGAAATTGATTATTACATAAACTGCCGTCGGCCAGGTAAATACGGAAGCCTCAGAAAGGAGGAGAAATGAGTATAATGAAGGTTGAGTAATATGGATGTCGTGCCTCAAGTAGACGCCATGACACACAGACAAGACGCAGGTGCAATACTAATACTAAAACTGTCTATTATAGCCCCGTCTATATCTTTAGTTAAGAATGCCTATGAAATGCTGCTCATGGCTTGAAACTAGTCGAGTTCCTCGTCAAATAATTACGTGATCAAGCCGAAAACATAATAATTTATTTAGTATGTCTCACATACAAGAATAAAGTATAATACAAGAATAAAGAATAAGTTTAAATAGATAGGAAAAACTAAATAAATAAGTATAATAAATCTGATTCGAAAGACTGTAAAATGTAAAATGTTATATATGGTCTGAAGTAACCTATATTTTTACTAATTTAAACCCCTATTACATGGGACTCATAACATAAATAGTGAATAGTGGGTGTTACATTGTACAGTGGTATTCAGTGCCGTAATGTGCACTTCTGTCTACTCCTTCGGGGATAAAAGGCGTGATGTTACATTATGTTATGTTTAAACCCACAATACATTTATTTTAGAAATGATTTCTTCTTCGTGTTTGTACATCTTCAGTTCTAATGGTTGGTTGTCAACTTCTTATCTATATTCTTTTTTATCACTTACTTAAGATTAAAGAATAAAATTAATTAAAAATACGAGAATGAAACTTTAACCTTCCTTCCACACCGAATATTGTTAGTATACAGTATCCGCGAAGTACCCACGTCGGTATAGTTCCTTGTAATTAATTAAAATTAACACACAAAGCTATTATAAATGGTCTAACTGAATATAACATTCATTATCATATAATACATACATACCTTTTGACTATGATCATAGTTATAAATACATAATAATATAAATTAATTTAAACCTTGCCATTGCGCATCACCAAACGAACTGAAACTCATAACATAAATTGTCTGTGAAAGTTTTGAGTAAAATTATTGTAATTTTCTAGAACATAGAACCATGTTTGTCATTTAATTACAGGTTATTATGTAGTTGATAAATAAATAAAAATAAAATAAAAAAAGCCTGTATTTCTCTCAGGAATTAGGGAGATTGGGGAAGGGGAGGGTAATTGGCCTCCGGTAACCTCACTCACACGACGAAACACATCGCAAGCGTTGCTTCACGTCGGTTTTCTGTGAGGCCGTGGTATCACTCCGGTCGAGCCGGCCCATTCGTGCCCGACACCTGGAACACCAGAGGCGTTACAAGTGCGTTACCGGCCTTTTGGGGATTAGGAGTTTGAGGATCGTTGGGGATTCAGGGATTGGAGAGATTGGGGAAGGGGAGGGTAATTGGGCCTCCGGTAACCTCACTTATACGACGAAACACATCGCAAGCGTTGCTTCACGTCGGTTTTCTGTGAGGCCGTGGTATCACTCCGGTCGAGCCGGCCCATTCGTGCCGAAGCATGGCTCTCCCGCACTTAAATATTGGCATATTGTGATTCACATTTGTGGTGAAGAAATAGAAAAAATATACACAAAACTTGAATAAGTACGAATGTACCTACTTAGCAATTTAATTCAAATCACCGTAGAGAAGACGATGAAATTACCACAAAAACCACAATCAAAATATCGCAATATTAATTCTTATAGTTTCAATTTAGCAACTACCACTTACCATCATTACTCTAATAAAGAAATTGCGAAACAAATCCGTGATAAAAACATATATTCCATCTTGATACATCGTTAACACTATAGTACGCACGTTTGCACATTCTTAAAATTGTGACATTCAATTAGGTACCATATACATTCATTGCTTAACCATCAAAACAGCTGTTGGGTAAATTTTGACAAAAACTTTATTATATTGGTGGTTACAGCTTAAACAGCTTGAATATTAGTGTACACGGGACTCAAATGTCACATCTCTTGTATTGCGACAGGATACAGCCACTCCAATGATTGAAATTGACAAGATGGGGCTTGAAAATATTAAAGTTCCCTCTTCTGTCTAGAGATTAGTTGAATTACAATGAATGTAAACGACATTCATTCTTTTGTCCTTTGTAATACAGACACTTTTTATTTGAATAAACATGTTAATCTTGTCTAATAACAATTTAATTAATTATAATCACGTTTATAGTGGAATAAAATAACTATTACAACTAAAAATATGTCTGTACCTAAGTCATAAATATAATAAAATGTGCAATTAATAAAAGCCGCACTTAGTGACGAGATTAACAAAAGGATTTATTAAGAGCTTGATTAATGTGCAGCGGTAATTCGTCCTAAATATGTAATTGCATATATACAGCCTTGTCTGTTATATAATTAGGTAAGTACTGCTACTAATATACTGACATTAGACTCTGTCAGCACGCCATCATGTAATTCTAGGTCTTAATGGGGCCAGCGTACCTATTCCAGTCGGTTTAGTAGACACTTCTTAAGTAGCCATTATCTATTTGTCCGACTTAATCAAATGTGTTGGGCCTTGACCCTATGTTGGTACGAAAGTTTCCACAGAAACTAGTTATTAATCCCACTTTACTTAAACTGGTTGGTTTTAGAGTTATTGGACTACTTCGCTTTTGCTCATGTTAATGGAGGTTCTTCTGTAGCAAAATTGATGGTTATCTTTGGAACAGTGTTCGAATTGAAAAGACATTTAGATCATTAAGTTCATTGTGATTATGTAGCTACTTCTGATAATTATGAGAACATTACTGATCAAACTTGGGTAGAACGTTTGCATACCGTATTTTGCACAAGTTGACAAATATGGACCCTACAACAACCATGTCCTCTATACATGTTGATTACATTATACATACAAGCTTATTATTGCACCCCATATAGACGGATTAAGTGTTCCATGGCTAACAGTAAATGGTTTTTGCGAGATCGAGTTTCGCGAACAAGGTCCCGTGGCGGGTCAACGACCCGGCAGGTGCATTACGGCGATCCGTTACTTCACAACCAGTTAAAAACATAATTATTTCTGACACGTTTTAGCCGCCAGCTATAGGCCCTTCTTTGTACTCATTGTAGTTCGATCGACTCTACGATGAGAATCTTTTAAAAAGGGTCAAGAGTGTTGCATCTGTTGATGACGGGACACAAAAGTTAAAAGAAATAAAGACCAAACTTTAATTAACTTTTGATTGATTTGACCTAAGTTATCTACTAAATGCCAATTTTAACTGAATCCAGAATCAGTGGATTAGGACCAATTTTTGACATTAGTTGTATAAAGTTGTTATTATAAATCTATCTAAACCACAGTACAACAATGGTTATTAAAATTGTCAGTAAAACAATACAGTACCTGTCATATTTATTATAACAAAAATTCAGCAAGTAATCAAAATATTTTGCAACAAAATTAGCACAACGTTAGCAGTTTAATACAATTCTTAGAAGGCCCGATGATAGTTCATGTTGACAAAGAGAAAGGCGTTTCAATATAAAAACTTTCATTTATTGTTTGTACCATTTCGTTCACTGCAAGATTTAACGGAAATTATTTGATTAACGCTAATGACACATGAGGATAAATGTATTCAATAAAGAAACTGTTCTTCGATGTACTGGTCGTTAATTTAATCAGATATTTGAGACATACAAAATAAAGAAAGGTTTATTTTTATCTGTCGGGTTTGAACAGAAATATCTTACAATTGTTATTTACTTTACTAACCAATACATGTTTTAAAGACAACAATAATTAGTAATCCTATTAAAAAAAGATCAACCTAGACTACAGCCTAAAAAAAATTCAGAACAAAATCATTTGTCTTCTATATTTAAAGTTGTATGCAGTGTATCCGGATTACCCGTTGTTATATCTGTAGATATACATACGACAACGGGTAAAATGTCTCCACTGACTCCTAATTTGACTTGTCCTCCTTCATAATGACTAAATATGAATCCATACAACAAATGTCATAAATCGATATTAATCCACAGATTTAGGATTTCGATCGACGGATTCGAACGTAAACCAACCCTATTAGCCTACTTTCAACCTTAACAAACCAAGCTGCTTTATTAATCTTCGTCTGCTTTCGAAGATCAAAACAAAGAGCCATCTCCAAGAAGCCAGTTCCTAGCTAAAACATGGCTAATCGATCGCCACTTCCTAGGGCTTCGCAGAAATTCGCATTGTGTATCTATCAGATTCTATTGTTTTCACCGCGTCAATGCCTGCCTACCGTTAGACGATGCCAACAGCATACTAAGTAATGTTAGCCATATTCATAATACCTACGCTATTGAAAGCTTATTAGCATAACAGCTGACTAATAAAATAACTTGAAACATAGGAAGGTTCTTTATGTTAACTGTTAATAAATGATTCGAACGGCTATATCTTGTTGACGATGTTTGTTTTCCTCAAAAATGTTGTTTTCCTTAAGTCTTATTTGGAGTTAATAATTTTAACCTCTTTGCTCGAGCCTGTGAGAACCTAGATCACCTTCACCCATTTTTTAATATAATGTATTATGAACCGGTGTTATACTTGAAATTTTTTTTTATTCAGACATATTTGGAGGTCGATGCTCGCGACGGGACCCCAATGTGGACGCCTGCTTGCTCCGCAGCTTCAACTCATTCATCGAGTACATGAAAGGAGGAGCCCCTGAACTGGGAATTGAAGAGGTAATCGCTCATAAAATAATTACTATAATCACAATTAAATTGTCAAAATCCCTTGTAATGTGTGTTGCTGATTGTTCAAAGGCCTTACTAAAATCGTGAATGATGTTTAATTTCCAGGCGGAACCTATTGTAATAGATGAGCTGTCAATCGCACTGGGTGGAGGTCCCGATGGCTACCGAGCCAGCTTCAAGGATATCCAAGCCATAGGAGCTTCTAACATGACCATCACTAATGTGAGGTAAGACCAGAAAAGAACAGTGTTATGGGACATTCAAGATTAATTTTACAAAATTTATTCGAAAGTGATCTTAAACATGATCAAAAATAAAAGGCAAACTAATAACATAATTTCTTATTAAACTGTCAAACACCAAGCGGTCACTGGTGACCGCAACCTATTGTTCTATAATTGTGTCTACAAAACCGGTACTCGACGAGTTAAGACTATATCTTAGATTAGGTCTATTACTATTCCAAAGACTACATTTCAATGTCATTCAGAGCCATGTTCGAAAGACTTAAAATATTGTTAACCTTAAAAGCAAAACAACTGTAACAAGGAAACTCCTGTTACAATAGCCATAAATCTCAGTTAGTAAAGAATCTAGTTCTAATATTTATGTCATTAACCGAGAAAGGTGTTAAAGCGATCATAAAATTAAATCAATGAAAACACGCGAGATATTCACCGCTATCTCAACACCTGCTCAAGAACTGAACATATTTACATAGCCTTCTAAAATATTTGTTCCGAGACCAAGTTTGTACGTATGTTTTTGCACGTACGACACAGAACTAGTCACTCACTTCAAACGAAGTGTTAACCACAAAATTGTTTAGCTGTAGCACCAATAAAATGTTAGGACAGTCGTGTTATTGTGTTGTGGTGTCGAGTCATTTTTCTCCTTACATAAGAGCCGTTCCCACATGAAAAACTCAACAAAGACCACAAGTAATTATACTAATAATTTGTGTTTTTGCAACACTATTGTTACAATGTGAATTATGAGCATCTATCTCTTCCTAATCATTATGATTGTTGGCTAAGTTTTTATCAGTTTCGTTCACCCCTCCCAAGATATTATTAATCATAATTTAAGGATTAGATACACATTTCCTTTCCCTTTCGCTACTCTTAGTCGTATCAACTTTTAATTCCTATTCTTCATTTCATTATAAGCCTAGATTCTTCCACAAATCCACATCAACAATGACTAATATAAATCCAAACAATCTTAAAGTTGTGCAAATAAACTCACAAAACAAATTAAATTACCGTTCTTTACTACCTCCAGCAAATATGTCAATATTAGGCTATTTGGATATGAAAATAATAATTTAATTTATTCTGTTCACGTGGAAAGACATGTCCAATGTTATATTACAGGCGGGGTCGAAGGGGACAAAGAATTGACGACTCATAATACAAACAATATGTTTGACCATGTAAAATACTGCAAAGGTCTCTTATCTTAAAATATTCATACTTGAAGGGGTAACAAAAGGATTTTATGAGGCGTTCAGGGTTTCAAAAAATATGATGAAATTAAGGCCTCTGAATGGGCTCAATGTAGACCATATCATTCAGGGTCAAGGTATTAAAAATTTGTATTAATGAGACTGGTAGTGCGTAAAATCGAGTCTGTTCTGTTATCGTATCAAAATATAAATAACTTCTTAGCAGGTTATGAGGTACTGGCTGGATTTCATCATGATTATCAAATCATTACCAGTGTATTGCAATAATTCTAATCAGTCTATACAGTTGTACTCAAACAATGTAACTGACAAGATAACATTATGTTAATTTTAAGTACAGAAGGTAGAGAACAAATACATATAATTACAGATTATTTGCAAATACAGTTTAGTTTGATTATAAAAATCAATACGGAACGTTGTTCGCTAGGCAAATAAAATTTAATATAGAATGTAAATGAAACATTGTTCTATATCCCTCTGAATGAATAATATTATTATTCAGTTTGTAAATCGTAATTATGGGATGTTATGTTTCACACTTCACACATACCATTTTTATTCCTACTTATAAGGTTTAAATATTTTATTGTTATGTATGAATATAGGTACCAACTATACTACATTGTACTGCTGATATGATCCTATAAATACTTTGCCATTACTCAGAATTACCTGCCGTTACAGCTTAGGCATTTCTTCTTCTTCTTTTATCACGTCGTAATCACAAACATTACTTACAGCCTTAGTTTATCTATCTTTTCCTTTGTCATACTTGTCCTCTACATTCGTCCATTTCAATTTAACCCTCCCTTTATCGTATAGTTTTCATCCCTAAATTCTTATATATCTGAATTGTGGGTTACACCCTTACACATATTGTTATGTGCATCCCTATTATTAATGTTTGCTTAGTTTCCAATTGTGTGTTTCCCTAAATGAATCTTTGAACATATTTTACTTTATTGTCACACAGGTCAGACCTAGAAACGCATCAGTTCCAGTTGACACTATTCGGTCCCCACATCAGTGCGCGCGCACGTTACCGTTCATCCGGCGTGCTACTGCTCGTGCGCGCGTCTGGTGGTGGAGAATACTGGGGAGAATACGGTCAGTTGTACTCATCGTCTAATTATTTAAAAGCCGTTATTATATTACAACGTTCGTTTGCTTCTGACATTTATGAATACGATGATGGCAAAAATGATACAAAAAAGATGACGGAGCTGCAAGCCTTTGAAAACTCCTTAATCACATTGCCGTTACTTACACATAGGAGGAAGCAAGCAGCTATGGAGCAATAATTAAAACAACGCTTTTTGATAATAAAATGCAAAAGCGAACTTAGAAGATTGTATCTACTTAATAATTTAAATTCAAGAAACTTCCTTGAATAACTCCATATGGTACCATCATTAACAATTTTCCCAATATTTTGACAGACGGTGTGAAAGCAAAGGTATACTTCCGCGGAGAACCGTACACTCGCAACGGTCGCACCTACCTCAAGCTGCAGCAGCTCAAACTGGACTTCTCCGTCAAAGACATTCAGATGGGCGTCGAGAACTTGCAGAATAGCAACGCTGTTTTAGGTAAGTACTACAAGTACAAACTTGACTATAATGAACTCTACTTTCTATGAACAAACTTGACTATAATGAACTCTACTTTCTATAATGCTTGTGATAAAGACAATGATTAAATAAGTTATTTAATAGATCAATTTTGGCAAAACAAACATAACATACCTTTTTTATCGATGAGAGGAAAAACGCGCCTAGCTTTTTGGGGAAAGGACTAAGGAGAGGGGTAATTACCTCACTAAAACCTTCCCGACGGCCACCACCGTGTATATATAGAAGCAGAAACATGTTTTCTAAAAAGGAGCTATTTCCAAATATTCAGCAATTACATTTTCTTCATAAAAATTCCGTAGCAATCAAATATTGGATAAAACTATGAAAAACATAATGTTACCAAAAAATATTTCAATCCAAACAGAGGCTGCCCTGAACCTGTTCATCAACACCAACGCCCAAGAGTTGCTGAAGGAGATGAAGCCAGAGTTGAAACGAGACCTGGCAGAGAAGATGTCACGCTTCCTCGACAACGTGTTCGAGAAGATTCCATACGACGACTGGATCGTGGACTAGAAATAGATATTTAAGATAATCTTAGGTTTAACACAGAAATACAGTGAGACAAAATAGTTGATCAGACAGACCAACTTTCAAAATGGTAATTTTTCCAAAATGGTGCTTATGTTTCGGACATTAGAGTCTATAAATTCAAAATAATAGGATAGAAGAAAAAGTTAAATGAAAAATTTCTTCATTGAATGGTTTTGTGAACAGAGTGAAGCGTTTGACAAGACCAAGTATGACTTCATGAATGTTGGTGCTAATACAAATGATGGATTTCCCAGTAACAACTTCTAAGTGAAATTTAACTACATTAACTTAAGTTGTTAAGAACAAGATTTCCGCGTGTTTGTACTATTAATTCTATAGACTGGACATTACTTTCTATAACATAGTAATTGTAAAATGTAGCGAATAAGATATTTATTTAGAGTTCTTCCTAAGGTACATTCGACTTGACCGGTCGGTCCCTTTGTATTATTAGTTTTACGACAATTTGTACAACTGCAATAAAGTCTTCGAAATTGATTATTGATTTATTTACTTGTAGTGAATACCTATTAATTTCGCAACTTTAACTTATAATACCGTTATTAAACGAACATTTTAATGAATTGAGTATTTAAAAAACCTATAAAATAATTAGATGTCATTAATACAAAATAAACATTAATACATTAATAATAAACATTTTAATCTAAAAACCGTTTAGTAATTTGGATAAAGCATAGGACATGAAATAAAATTATACGGAAAGAGACAAAACGAAAGTGAACCCAAAAATTCAAACGTTATCGAGAATTTAATCAGCCTACGTCGGTACTGTAGGAGTTTGGATAATATTGTAAGATAAGTTCAAGTTTTGAAAAAATAACCTACAGAAATGAATAGATACTAGCGGACCCAACAGACGTTGTCCTGTGTATCCACTTGAATGTATAAACAAAAATTCATTCAAATTAGTTCAGCTGTTTAGGATAAATAACCTAAACATCGACTGCAGCGCCGTCTGCCGGGCTGATTTCTCAATCTAAACCATTCCCAGCTCCCCTTGGACACACACAAAAAAATTTATCAAAATCAGTCCAGTCGTTTGAGAGAAGTTCAGTGACATACACACTCACAGAAGAATTATATATATATAAAGATTAGCAGCACTGTCGCTTTGTCCTTTTCGATAAATTATTTTAATTTAAGTCGATATTACTCGACTCAATCTTCTCCAACTATGTTAATAGCTGAACTTTCAAGACATGATTAGGCGTATACCTATACTTAATATCATAGAAACTATTTACAAATGGACGTCTAGGCAAACGTAGTGTATGGCGCTCTCCAGATAGTTGGAGTGACGATATCCGCAAAGTGGCTGGTAGTGGCTGGATGCGTAGAGCTAAATAAAGACCGAGCTCAGTGGCGTGCCATTGGAGAGGCCTATGTCCACGAGAACAGGCTGTAGATGACCTTTTAAATTAAGAGTACCGCAGCGCCTGATATAATTAAATTACTATCATTCGTTAGCTCACACGTATAGTGTTACTTTAGTAGTTGTTTAAGTAGATAACTAGATGGCGATAATATCGTTAAACTAAGTTGCGATTTTCAACCTATTTACAGTAACTAGGTGAGTGACATCATCAAAAGGAAAATAATTTATTCACCAAAATATTTACTTTTCCAAATACAAATGCAGATTTATTTATTTCTATTCATTTTGACATGGATTTCAAATTTTTATTTTACTTACCTACTACAAAACATGGGCGATATCAGGTTGTCCTGTATGTATGTAAGTACTAAG